TAACAAAGTTCAAACAGACTGAAATAAACAACAAACTGCTACACATCTCAATTAAACATATCAATTTATACTACTCATTGTCTCCAAGGCCTCCATGCATTCATTAAATGTACTGTCCAGTTACATAGTTATCATTTTCCACCTTAAGCTTATGTATAAATACACACCCAACTTATCTGTGGGTGCTGTCCAACTATTAAAATGATGAAAAGTTTTAAAAAGTTGTTTTTCTGCCAATAAATACATTCACCAATACGACGCCCACACACAGGGGAAAAGTTCCCTTCAGGTCAAACTATAACACACACACTCACTGATGAAACACACCAGGAAGACATAAATAACAGTGTGGTTTTGGTGACACAGCTGCTGAATAGATCATTCATGTTGCATGTGTACTCTACATTGCTATTATTACTAGAGAATGCATAGACCCCTCAAGGCTCTCACACCTGCACCAGCTCTCAGTGATCTTCAAGATCAGACAAGCTTTTGTTTCTCACCTCAGATGTGAGTGCATTTCTGGGTCACCAAATCCAGCAGCGCCAATTATCAATGCAACACCCCCCTCTAGTGGACAGAGAGCAACATGAACTCTCTGTGGTCTTCATCTAATACACATTTGGTAATCACAGGGCGAACTGGGTACATTTACTCAAGTGCTGTGCTTAGGTACAACTTAGAGGTATTTGTAGTTCGCTTTAATATTTCCAGTTTATGCTATTTTATATTTCCATAGGCAAATAATGTACATTTAACTATAATGATGTGTCGTATTTTAAAAGTTATAGTAAACTACCGAACGGTATGTTAAGTGGTTAAAATGAGTCACTTCTCAACCAGCTATTACAATTAAAGGCTACTTACACAGGCATGTATTAGTAACAATAACCCAATAATAAAACATCCATCCATCCATATTCATCTGCTTATCTGGGGGCAGGGTCTTGGGGGCAGCAGGCCAAGCAAAGCACCCCAGACGTCCCTCTCCCCAGCAACACTTTCCAGCTCCTCCCGGGGACCCTAAGGTGTTCCCAGGCCAGATGAGATATGTAATCCCTCAAGTGTGTTCTACCCTGGGGCCTCCTATCAGTAGAATGCGCCCAGAACACCTCTAATGGGAGGCGTCCAGGAGGCATCCTGATCAGATGCCCAAACCACCTCAACTGACCCCTTTCGACAGAAAGGAGCAGGGGCTCTACTCCGAGCTCCCTCCAGATGTTTGAGCTCCTTACCCTGTCTCTAAGGCTGAGCCCAGCCACCCCACAGAGGAAACTGATATTGACTGCTTGTATCCGCAATCTTGTTCTTTCGGTCACTACCCAGAGCTCATGACCAAAGGTCAAGACATATGATAATAAATTCCTCAAAGGGGCCATTTGTCTGCATGTCAAACATACTTTTTGATACTTTAGAAATTAGCCTATAACCCTTCTATAATTTAAAGTAACATTTTGAATGCATAATTAAGTATTTTTACATTGTTGTATTGATCATTTTACATAGGTAAAGGATCTCAGCTCTGCCTCAAGCTCTGTGGTACATGGTATTACACTTGGAGGACACTGAACACATCATTTTTGATTAATTCATTCCATTTGTCATTCATTTTCTGTAACTGCTTATCTTGTTAGGGGTCACATGGGAGCTGGAGCCTATCGTAGCTGACATAGGGACAGGTGCCAGACTATCACAGGGCTGACACATAGAGACAGACAACCATTCAGACTAACATTCACACCTATGGACAATTTAGAGTCATCAATTAACCTGCATGTCTTTGGACTGTGGGAGGAAGCCGGAGTACCTGGAGAAAAGCCACGCTGACATGGGGAGAACATGCAAACTCCTCATGAAAGGGCTCCCCCACCCTGGGTTGGAACCAGGCACCCTCTTGCTGTGAGGTGGCAATGCCAACCACTACACCACCGTGCCGCCCATCAATTTTAATACCTAAATTTGATTTGATTTAATATTATTCAAACAGGAAATTTGGCCCACAAATATATATCTAGATGATAGAAAATAAGGATTGAGAGTTACATATTAACCTGTATTGGCTCTGTTTCTATGCTCCCACATTCACATGCAGTTGTTTCCTGCACAACTGGAAACACCCTTCCACTGACACAGTGACTATGTCACCGGCAACTGCCTACATGCATTGTGCTGCTGTAGCAGTTTCAGGCACCAGTCTTTGTTTTAGAAATGACACAATGAGCAGCTGTAATGCTCAGGCGGGAGTTTAGGGAGATTCCATGACTTTACCGAGAGGAACGTTGGGAGGAGAAGCCTCAGGGGAGGGAACAGGGGAGTGGAGGACAGAGGAGGGTGGATGGTGCGCGAGCCGTCCTTTAAATCCATTAGTATGTTTTCTGGGTGTCTTTTTCTTTAAAGCTCTTTACTTCAGAGGGGAAACTGCTTTTATTTCCAGAGAAGCAGCAGCTCTCCTTCTGCTTTCCTGTTTCCAATAGCACACGTAACTGATTTCAGATTTAGGGTTTGGAAAAGAAATTCATCAGAGTCACTGAGGAGAAGAATTTCACATTCTGGCATTTCTCACAGTGAGACACACGTTTTTGATGATTTTGGTGTTGACCTAAATTTGCTCCATTTTTTCCATGGTTTTAAAGCTGTACTTGGTTACTTTGATAGAAAAAAATAATTACTTTTGTCATATTTGCTGGAACTGGCACAACATTCACAGAGCACCAAGTGAGACAGATAATCTGTGGAAATAATCATGCACCACTTCTAACGGCCCGACTGCATGTGAACAAAAACAACCAATAGGAGCCAAGGAGTCTCTAATGCCGCTGTCGAACATGTCAATCACAGCTCGTAAATTGCATTCAAAATAGGCAGCTGATCAAATATGAATCAAGACACTGTAACTGCATTGCTAGTTACCGTTTAACTGTAAAATGAGAACGTTGTCACAGTCAGTAGGCGGTTCTTGGTACCTTAGCCGACTGTAGCCAACATGGCAGTCAGGTAACAAACTCTCATTTTACAGCTAAACAGTACATTGAAATATGTTTCTGAAAACATCTGAGACAGTTTGAATGAACAGTCATTGACATGAACAGCTGTGTTAGAGACTCCTCAGCTCTGATTGGTTGTCTTTGGTGCACCACGGTAGATTCTAGCAAATGCCATCAGGAGCAGTACAAAGGAGGAGGGACATGATTATTTCTCAGACTGTCTTATGTACATCTTTTAGAATATAGTGACAGTTTCAGTGAAGTTATTTCCATAAAAGTTACCGACTGTAGCTTAATGGTACAACCCTTCACATTTTCAGGAATAGCAACAGCTTTTCAATGTATTTACAGTTTGTAATTACCTTTCAGAATATTAGCTTTCACGGTTAGTGGCGGAGTCCGCCATCCCAATGCTTGATTCAAAATGCCTTCACACCAAGGGGTTATCTCTGGGTCTGAAAAGTGAAGCCAATGCAGGAGTGCCTTTTGCCAGCAAGAGTTGACACTGGTTTTAAATAGCAGCCAGACTGTGAAAGAGTCTGAGAAAAAAATTGCCCTACTTCTCACTTGATTTATAGAGTTCCCCAGGAATGAGTGCTAAAATCCGGAAATGAGCTTGCATTTTAGCACTCCCGGTTCTCTCGTCTCAAAGTCAGTGGGTTTTATGAATAGATTTCAGGTAAGATGTCTGAAATAAGGCCTATGGCTAACACAAGAGACTTTCACATTTTGTTCTATGACATAAAATATGTCAGTGAATACCCCGCTCATGAACTTTAAAGCTCCTATGTGTCTTAACAAAGGCAATTGCTAACACATGGCTAAATGAGACGACATAACTTCATCACGCCGTACAGGGCTTTACAGCCTTGCTGTGGTAGGGACCATAGTGTAGTTTGTTTACAGCCTAATGTTAGCTTTTTACCCATTTAGGCCTTGATAAAAATCATACAGGTGGTGTTAATTTGTGAAGATTATCTTGCTGAAAAAAACATGTAAGTATCAAATGTTTGCCACAGAGTTTATTTTCTGCAAAAGCAAAAAATTACCGTTGACTTACAGACGAAGGAACCAGGGCGATGCTAACTTCCGCTTTGGTCTACACAAAATCCTCATCTCTGGAGCACTCTGTTACCTCTGTAGACATTTTCCTAATGAGTTTATGGTCTCAGTCACTAGTTACAAATCTTCTTCAATACAGCATGATGCTCATTTTCAATGTGTTTTCTTGCGGTGGCCTTTCTAAACTGGATCAGACGTGTAAGTTACGATAGTCTGTTATAATCAAAGAGTTGATGGTAAGCAAACACCATTAGCAAGCTAATCGTTGGCGCACTAACTTACTGAAAGGTTGTTTACTCCCACATTAAATTAAATTACATAGGCACATCTCCACAAGTATTAACCAAGAAAAATAGGCCAAATCTATAAATGTTTTCTTTCTCAAAGTCTGACTGACACACCCAGATAATGCGATTGGGAGTCGAATTACTCCTGCATGGATATAGTCAATGAGACCAAAACTGGCTGAGATGCTCTGCACATGGTCCACAATTTCTGCCCCGGGCTTTGACCTGGCACGTGAATAGCATTAACAGAAGATGCTGGTAACAACATGGCAAAATCTATATCAAATCCTGTGTATTTTTGGATGGAGGAAATGTACAGAGCTCTAAAAAGTTGTCCACGATGGTACCAGTTTGCCGCTAGCTAACTGTAGCAACTTGATTGTTTGGTCTGTGACCTAACAAGTAAAACGGAAAAAGGTCCAGTACTAACAAGGTGAAAAAGGGCGTATCACCACCTATTGTAGTGAAGTCGGACATACTTGGGTCAATAAATTGATTCCCCTCCCACGATTGTACACTGGGTCCTAGTCTAAGTATAACCATTGCTTCACTTAACTGTGCATGTAAACGTACTGAATATGGCGTCTGCACACATATGTCTTTAGTAGTCATCATCCTTTCGGCAAGAAGGCAAATAAGCATATCTCCCAAAATATTGTTCTCTTACCTTTAGGCTTTGAAACACCAGAGGGTTACAGCCAGTCAGGACCTGCTGTGTGTAGACATGTGAGACAGAGGTCAAAGGTCACCTGCTGATCGGACCTGAGGAAGAAATAACAATAACGTGATAAGAAAAAGGTTTAAAAATAGTTTTTAAATGACTCATTTCTGCACTAATTCCACACACACACCATCTCTCTGTGTCTGCCATGGGACTGTAGAGACAGGCATGTTTCTCAGGGTGTCATCTTCCCCGCCCGAGGCCAGACAGTCTTCAGATATCACTAATTTCCTCCCCAAATGTCTCTCTGACAAGCCTGGGAATTAACACACCCGGAACACGACGTAAACACAGGAATTTCTTTCACATTCTCAGAATTTAATCAGTCAACGGAAACAAACTAAGTAGCTCCTTTCCCTCTGCTGCTGTTCTTACACTGCTGCCATTTTAAGTTAAATCTGGGAACATTTCTGCAGCATGTGCGCCAGTGCGAATGTGTTACACATGCTTGAACATAGGTCCTGATTGTTGGGAGGGTCATGCACGTCTAAGATCTGTGAACTCCGTCGGCTCCTCTGTCACTTCCTCACTCTGACAATGGAGTCAGGGTGAGAGGTGAAGGAATGAAAGTAAAGGAACCACCAGGAATCATTCAAGGTTAAACCCAGCAGATTGAATGACTCCCCTGGGATGAATGCTACTTAGGACTGCACACAAGCACATACAATGGCAGGTCATTTGGCACTAATCGACAAGCACGCTCTCAGATCACCTCACAATAGCCGGAAAGAGAAGAAAAAAGATGCTGATTATCTGCTACCTGCACTGCACTCAGGGGCTTTTGGTCACATGACAACATGACATTGTTTTATCTTATTTAGAAACACACACTCAGAGACTCAGAGGAATTTCAATCGCTGATTTCAATTTCAATCTCAGGAGGAGAAAACAGACATTAGGAGTGATTATTTCTTGTATATTAATTAAGTTTTATCTGCAGCTATAAAACTGTTAAACACAAAGAAAACGAAAGAGCATCATGCTGACAAAGTTGTGAAAATAAAAAGTCAAACAAAGAGAATTAAATTACTCACACAAGGCCAAATATCTTAATAAAGCACATCAGATTTAACCACTGATTGTTTCCAGAGCCTCCACACTCACCCTAAATGCCTCATTCGAACAACATGGTCGCCTTATGCTGGCCTCAGCGACTCCAGATTTGAAGACTGGAAATCGTAAAAACCAATTTGTAAGGCATTGCAGCCTGCTGGCGGGAAGTAATGCGTTAATGAATCCATGTTGCAAATTCAGGCAGATGTTGGGACATCGGGATGGAGGTGAGCGAAGATACTATGAAAGGAGTAAACAATGTCAAATGATGAGAAACTGCTGTTTTCTTCTAGGAATCTGACGCACAAATCTTGCATTAAAACACCAGGAGAAAAAGTTCTGATCAAAAGTTTTTCTATTTGTTTAAAGCTCCTCACAATGTGTTTGATGACTTTCTGTTTGGATATTAGACATTTTAATTTCAAAAGATGTGACTGTTTTATAGGCCTGTGACATAAAATCTTACTTTTATAATTTGATATGTTAATGGAATAAATTTTAAACCTCAACTTTTAAGCAAACTGGGACCAAATGTCCCTTAAGTGTTCTGGAAAAAATGGAAATTTGATCACATTTAACACCAGGAAAACTGGGAAAGAACTGATATGGATGGATGGAGGATATGTGTGATTTACTTCAATATTAGGGCAGTAAATAAATGGACCTTGAAGTAAACTTGTTTGTTAAAAAATTATGTTATTTACTAGCTTTAAATCTGGTCAATGGTATGTGTTTAAAAATAGAATAAACTATTGCAAGATGCATTTAAAGGTCAAAATAATTGGCTCATTTGGATCATAAGGGAGAATGGGATCGGTTGTCACAAGGACTGATTGTCACAGTCATTGGATCTTGCACCCTGGGGGCACTCTTAAAAAATGTTTGGTACTGAAATTATTAGAACTGGGGTCAAAGGTCAGGAGAAATGGTGCATTCCATGTGCACTGGAAAGTTGGAATTTCTGAGTTCCCAAAAGGAAATCTCATCTGGAATGTTCCCTGAAGTCGTAAAGTCGGAGGACTTTTGCATATCAAAAAATCGGATAGATGGCTGTTATGCATCAAAAGAAATGAAAGCTGCAGTAATATACTGTTCATTAGCACTCGGGTCTCATTGAAATGTCTTACACACAGTACAGTCCAACTTGTGTCTGTGGACATGTTGCTACAGTGTTTGTATGTGAATAATATGGCGTAATGCGTTAATATGAACTGGTATTGCCAACAATGACTAACCTGGCTTGAACTGACTTACCTGACTTACTTGACTTAAACCCTTTTGCTCTTTGGGGAGCATAGGTCATTCATGAACTTCCTCCAGCTAGTTCGGTGTTGGGCGATCTTCTCTGCTTCCTTCCAGGATGTTCTTGTTTCCTCGAGTTCCGCCTCAACAGACCTTTTCCAGCTGTTTCTTGGTCTTCCTGGCTTTCTTTTCCCTTGTGGGTTCCAGGTTAAGGCCTGTCTGGACGTGTTGAAGGATGGTTTTCTCAAGGTGTGCCAGATCCAGCCCCATTTCCTGCATTTGACTTGGGTTTCAATTTGTTCTTGTTGTGTGGTTTGCCAGAGCTCTTCGTTTGCGATGGTGTTAGGCCAGTAAATTCCCAGGATGTGTCGTAAGCATCTGTTAATGAATGATTGGAGCTTGTTTGATGATGCTTTTGTAGTTCTCCATGTTTCTGCCCCATAGAGTAAGACTGGTTTAATGGTGGAGTTGAAGATGCGGAGTTTAGTTTTTGTGGAGATGTGGTTTGTGTTCCATACTGGCTTCAGTATTAAAAAGGCTGTTCTTGCCTTCCCTATCCTTGCTTGTATGTCTTTGTCACTGCATCCATCCTTCCACACAACGCTTCCCAGGTATGTATACGTGTCCACCTCTTCTAGTGCCTCTCCATCCAGTTTTATGGCTTGAACTGGTATTGCTAATAAAATCTAGGGAATCAAATCGTGTGTGAAATCATTCCCAGCTCCGACCTCCTACTTAGAGGTAAATGAGAGACATGAGGTTGCGGCATGAGGCATGAAACACTTGACGCTGAGCTGAGGATATTTACTTATTTTCATGTCAGAATGAAAATATTTAGCACTTCTGCATTTCTCTCCTAGGTTTTTACACAATGGCTTTATAATAAAACAGTTTCTACCATTGAAAAATATGAAAGGAGAGCTATAGTCTCATTCTTGGCTAGGCTACAACATTTGGTTGTTGTCTTAGTCTCTAGCAAAAAATCCCAGCTGAGGATGCTTATCACTCTCTTTTCGGGGTGGGTTGTCACATGTATGGTTCTTTGTATTTTTTCTCGTAATGCAACAATAAAAGAATAAAAAAGCACTTATAAGAATGATTTTTCCATTTTACATTCTCTCAATACCAGAAATGTGTTAAGGTTGTTGCATTTCCACTGGCCTCCATTTTTTAATTTTCCCCCATTTAAATACAAAAGGGACAACCAACGCCATGGTGACAACCAAACCCACAATGGGGATGGTTATCAAGAATGCAAAAGATGTATTATTATTTTTATTATTTTTTAAAGATATTTTTAAGGGTTTTTCGCCTTTATTTGATAGGACAGATATAGCACGAAAGGATGAGAAGGAGGGGTGATGACATGTAGTCAAGGTCTGTGGGTAGGAGTCGAACCCATGGCCGCTGCAGCAACGACACATCCTTCAACATGAGACGGGAGTTCGGGCGCCCCGCACAACATGTATTTGACAGTCCAAATATTTTGAACCGAATAAGGCCCCATGTCCACCATAGCATTTTTTCCAGCTGAAAACGGCAGGTGCTCCTCAGGAAATGTCCAGAGCTTTTGAGTGCACATGGGAGGTGTTGTGTGTCTTAAGCTGAGAAACTTTGGTTGCGTCTGGTTGCAATAATTCAGAATATCCGCGCAAGTAAACATGTCAGCACAAGGTAGAGTATGAATTTTGGATGAGGGGAAGGCTGAAGCATGCAGGGAGAGGGGACGGGCCCGCCTGTCAGTGTGGATTAATCAGAGAAAACAACATGTATATAGCACGTTGGTGAAGTCATCCAAGTTGAAGACGTTTCACCTCTTATCCAAGAAACTTCTTCAGTTCTAAATGGACTGGTGCAGAGTTGCAGGCTTTAAACTCTGTGGGTGTGAACCCTTACAGAGTCGTTGAGGTCACATGTGAGTCATTGACCCACCCAGCTGTCATGTGGGTGTCGTTAGGGTTAGGTGGGTCCAGGTGTGAATGGACCGCATTGTAGGTGGGTGATAGGTGTTGTCGTAGGCCACCTCCTCGGTTTAACACTATATAAAGTATATTAATGGATTTCTCCTCCATTGTTGTTGTTGTTCAGCACACGTATAAGAACGATGTGACGGTTTGTCTTTGCGGTATTTGTCCCTCTTTCAGTGTGATTCAGCTGCCGAAGTGACATTGACAAGCAAAGTTTTTTTTACCTATAGTTGAACATTTCTGGACACTCTGCACTTGGGAAAAAAAGTCCCACCAGCAGGCCTCAGCGCAGAATTAATCCTCAGCGCCTTGTTGCACTAACGGTGTTTGTTGCGCAGCCTAAATATGCGTCAGTCTCATTGCAAAGCATCACAAAAGTACACTGGCCTCAGAAACTTTAGCCTCCCACCACTCATTGGAAGGGAATCTATTCAGGATACAGAGGGATTCAAATGAAGGCAAAAAGTGTGATGGTCGACCCTGTTCTCCCCTACACATCCTCTAAACTCAAAGTTCCCACACTTCCGACGGCACCTGAAAGCCTCACAAGGCTTGCATGTGCAGCATTGAACTCGCAGCTCATTTCTATCTAATAACAGTGACATCTTGAGGCTGTTGTAATCCTCCATGCCTCCTCCCTCCCTCCCTCCCCGTGTCCCTGCACAGCAGAATGCAGCAGAGCTTGATCTGACTTGTCCTCCCTGCTGCTGGAAGTCTCTGCTCGCTACTCGGAACTTCTTTGGGTGCTGCTCTCACGCTGGGACATGGCTGTGTCTGTTTCTCTCCAGTGTCTGGGGCTCATCATGCTCGCAGCGATCCTCCTGCAGACCATCGCGGTCGCCGTCAGTTTTCTGTACTTCAACAAAGTCCTGAACACGGTGAGATACGCGTTTGTCTTCCTCCTTATCTAACAGATAATGATAGTAGCAGACTGAATGCAGTCTAACTGGGGAGAGGGGAGAGCTGACACGTATCTGATCACAAGTTAACTTTACTCAGAACACATCTACATTTCAGTTTAGAGGGATACCACACCAGTGACACAATTTAAGAGTCTTTAGGAGTCAAACGAATACAGGAATATGACTTTAAATATCACTTACCTCATTATTCAGCACCCCAGATATTAATATGTAACTAAGCACAGCAGTAAAGGAAGGTCTAGTGGAATATAATCATAAATCATGCCATGCAATGGCAGTCATCAGCTTGAATAGACTAATACTCTCTGTTTCTTCAAGGATTTCTCATTTTAGGGTAAATATTT